GCAGACGTTTGTATTGACAGTACTGTGCATGTGTAAGGAACATGCCGTGTGGTTTTCTGTTGTTGCCATTCACCATGATATAGCCATTTTCTTGTTTGAATGGAGAGAAAAAAAGAGGAACAGTCAGGTTTTTACCCGGGGGACAAATTCAGATTGTGTTAAGATCAGAATGCATTAGATATTCAAAGCACAATTAACTTAATACACAAATATTTGAAGTATTTTTTAACTAAGAAATGCATCACAAATTTAAAAAAATACATTAACATCAAAAAACAAAAGAAATTTCTTTTTTAATTTGAATTTCAATTCAGCTTTAAAGAGTTAAATGATTTGTGAAGTTGAAGAAACCTTGAACAATGGAACAATGATGTGTTGGAGTTGGAAGCGTTCAATGCAAAGAATCCTATCTGTGAAAGGCCAAGTCAAATTGATATTTGTTTCATGTTCAGGATTTAAAGGGCCCGGTACTATCAGGTCTATAGTATAAATGGAAAATGTGGAATATTTATAGAATTACACTTTACTTCACCTCAAGAAAAATTAAAACATGAAAGAAATGCCAAAGAAAGATATTTTTGAAATGGCTGGAAAGCAGTGTTTTGTTAGCTTGAAGGACCAAATGAGCTATAGGGATAATGCTGTGGCCATCCGGTGTTCGGCGTCTGGTGTCTGACAACTTTTGCTATATATTGCAACTATTCATGAATGACTGAACAGATTTAAACAAAAAATTAGTCTGAGGCAGCCTTGGGGAAAGCAGAACAAATTGTATGTAAATGGTGGGTCTTGCCCACCCAGGGCCTGAGGGGCAGGGCTCAATAAGAAAAATCAATCAATTTCTAAAATCTATCTTGTTCTTTAGGAATTGCAGGATATTGTCCACATTTGGTCTGAAGCATGCTTGTGTGAAGGAAAATCAGTTTTGTATAAATGGTGTGTCTCAGCACCCTGAGGCTAAAGAAGAGATCATTTATCAATTATTTAAAATCTACCTTGTTGATATAGTTGAGATACCAATTCATTAACCATATAAATTCTTACTGGGAACCAAAAGAGAAAGACAGTAATGATATAAGAATTATCCATTGGTCTGCCACATCGAAGAGGTTATGTGACTGAGCTTTAATTTGGAAATATTTGAAATACCCAACCTATGGGCATGTATAACAATGCTGGGCTTTAAGATCCAGGTCAGCAATATAGGCTCTATGGATCTCTTGTTTCATTTGGCCTAATTCAGTTTCATATTCTGTCATAAGCCCAAGAAATTGTTGTTATAATTATGACCTTGACCATGAAATATTTAAGTGTTGTTAGGAGATTTTTAGCTGAATTGGCATTGTGCTCTACGATTATATAAGGTGCCAAACCTCGTATTGATAACCGACCCAACGATAATAGCATTGGAAAGGATTTTTTAAAAACACAATGTCAGCACTTAAATTTCCCAGCACAAACTCAATTATTTCCTAAAATATGTCTTTGGAAATTGAATTGAGATGAATCGTAGTTTGGCCGAGGGGTCTGATAATGCTGGCAAAATTGAGAAGGGAAGATAACTCTGAAGGAAAAATATGTCATTAAGGGTTGCCTCAGGGAAAAGAGTTAAACATTCATTAGATCGTTTTTTCACTATTCTGTTTTAAAATATGCTGGGACAACATTTCGCAAGAAATTTTGAAATTCTTCCAATTACAAAATATGTGCAGATTAATTTTCCAATCTGACCCTGGTCTTCGCAATGTAATCTGCATTAATGGCTTCCATGCCCTGCAGCCAAAGTCAAGATCAGTTGATGAAGGTCATAGAAAGTCATCATTTTGTCAATACTGTAAAAAAAAGATATGGCTACGCTGTTCCTGTTGGATATATACAGTCATGGTCGAAAGTTAATGTGAAGGTCATGTCAAGGCCACAGGAACTACCTTTAAAGGTTAACATATGAAGGAGATTACTCTATTCTGCAGAATGTTTGTTTCAAGATGGAATTTAAATCTCAGTGTGAAGGACATTAGGTACTCCGAGAGACAAGTAGAGAATTTGGTGGAACTCTGCTGGATAATAGCATTTATGACAAGTATTTTTGTATCATTGTTTCAATGTCATGTGGTAGATCAAGTGATAATGTCATGTTATCATGTCATTTATCAACGAATTAAATATGATGACTTCACATGACAGGTCATGTGCTAATGTCATTAGAAACACTTGTTATAATATCATGTGATAGGTCATGTGATAATGTCATTAGAAACACTTGTTCTAATGTCATATGATAGATCATGTGACGATGTCGTTAGAAACATTTGTTATAATGTCATGTGATAGATCATATGATAATGTCATTATAAACACTTGTTATAATGTCATGTGATAGGTCATGTGATAATGTCATTAGAAACACTTGTTATAATGTCATGTGAGAGATCATGTGGCGTACATAGTATGTATCCTTCTGTCACCAGACTGACCGTTCACGTCAGATTCACAGATGCTCAGTATTAGTTGGTGTAGTATAATGACATTTTCTGATTATTGTCGCTGCTGTTTGATTACACAACACCTGAACCCTTTGTTGTACCACCGATAATTTACCTGCACTACACTACGTTTATTAGGCTGTAGATAATTCACCTGTATGGACGCTACTTTTACTGGTAGTTTATGATATCTGTGATTACACGACAGCTATATACGTACATCTCACTGTTATTTCACCGCCCGTTAATTAGTGGGGAATTGTCTCATATCCTGTCTCACCATTTTTATTGATTCTTTATCACTTTACAAGGAACCCCAGACCAAGATAAAGCATGATGATCTTTTCTTAATTTTCACGTGGTCATTGATCTCTCCAACAGGGCAAGTTTTCTTTGATGTTATTCTCATGTCTAACAAAGATATCAACTTTCAATTGTTCAAAAAAAAATTTAATTAAATATTTATTTTCACATATTATAGATAGGAAACCAGGAAAATGAAAAATTAATATTTTATTTTTTTTAGGGTACATTTACTAATCATTTGAGAAAAAAAAATTCAAATTCTTACAAGTATTTCATTAGTCTAAACTTGTAATAAAAATAATGAGTCTGTTGAAATGCCTAATTAAGTTCGAACCTTGTTTTCAGTTTGATTTTGTCTTACAAACTTGGGGAAGATTTTGGTTCCCATGGTAACGGTTGATTGGTTTTTGGTTTGACATCGGAATTCTGTTTTTGAAAAATTTTTGCAACAGCTGAAAATATAAACAATTTGATATGGTTTTTGTTTAATAGTATTTAAAAAGTTTTTTTTATTCTTTTACCAAATAATCCTTTAGTTGATAATATGAAATCTTCATTAGGAATTTTATAAAGGAAGTAAAAAAAATCATTCTAAAGTTAGGGATTTTTGGTGGAGGTGTTCAGAATGGACATGGTTACTGAGAGTTACTCTCGGTTGAACATCTGTTGAATAAATATAATTTCTGGATAAAAGAATTATATGTTGTACAGTTTGAAATTTGTTCATTCCAATTTATAATAATTCTGCAGAAAAGATTTAATTTCTATAGAATAGATTCTGGAAGTACATACTTCATTTCAATAACAGCTTGCTGTCTATAAATCTCCATTTTTATAGACCATTTTGTATGAATATAATTTGAACAATCTTTTAAAAAATTAATTGACTGGAATCTGAGAGATATGTAGTGTTAGCAATATTGAACATATGTTTTATATAGTTCTTGTTTTTCCGATTAGAAAATAAAAAGTTCCTTTGAATTATTTTTACTCAGAGTTCATTTTAAGATAATAAGCTGGTCATAATAGACTAAGTCTCATTGTATTTGGAAGATATATGACAAAAATATAGACACCAGAGTATTATTTGGAAATCGGACCTTTCCCTTAAATGGGAAATAAACACCAGGCACTCAATATTAGTAACAGTTGCAGAGCTGAAAGGTCGTGTAGACATACACAGCTATACATCTCCTGGCGCAGGAAGCATGCTTGTTGATCATATATATTAGATAAATATTGATCGGGTGATGTTCGCAAGGAAATAAACGCCAAAAGAATTTTACTGGAAATGTATAATTTATCATTTGTAGCTTTAGATAAATTTTGTTTCATGGGGAGAGATTTGGGTATAATTTGTACTTTTTCCCCTTCAAAATGTTCATAATTTGATTATATGATGGTTTGTAAGACAAAATAAGTTTCTAAACTTTCGCTGTAAAATTGTGGGGTTTTTTTTTCGCAATTCCTCTTAACTTGTCTGATTGAATTGGTAACATTAGCTATCATACACTGTGACATGTAACTAACATGTTACAAGATCTATACAAAATATAGATTGTTAGGTTGTGGTATCAAAGGAATCAGATCATTAAGAATTCTGAGTCAAACAAAAGCTTGTAATAACATTTTGACATGTATACATCACTTTCAGAAGAGTTCTATTTTGCCTATTTTGAAGTGAAACACTGAAATATCTCCTATATGACCTCTGAGAATTCTTAAATCTTGTCCATTTTACTTACCCAACAATAAGGCTTTGCTTTTGGTAATAAGCCCATCCAAACATATTCCATTTTGTTACAATACAGAGTTTTCTGCCCTTGTGATGAGCAGGTGCTTATGGATATGGCATTAATTTGAGTCAAATATTACATTTTCTCATGATTTTACTCTAGCTTACAAATGATATAACAATTATAACCTACTCACAAGGGCAGATAACTCTGCTATACAAAAAGACAGAATTAATATTCAATAAAATTATAAACCGATATTATTTCTTTATTCTGTAATGATGAATTTGCATGTTAAATACAATAATTTGACCCCAGATCTTTCCAGTATTTTGTTCAGAAGGAATTTTTTAGTATTTAGTGTGTCCTAAAACATGCAGTACCGTTACGTAAACTGTATTTATACAAACAATTATAACATGTACTTGTATTTGAAATTCAATGAATCATGTATTTTTATTTTATGTCCTTGCAGCTCCCCCTAAGATCACAAACAGCTCTCCTAGTACACTCCGTCACCAACAGGGGGCAACAGTCACACTGTTTTGTCAGGCAGAGGGGTCTCCAGAACCACATGTAGAATGGACCAAAGATGGAGAGATTCTCACTAACTCACTTCGCATTTCCCTAAGTCCGGACCGCACTCAGCTGACGATTCGTAGCTTAGAACGTTCTGATGGCGGTCCATACAGTTGTACATTCCGTAATTCTCTCGGACAGGTAGCACAGCGGATAGATCTCATCGTAGAAGGTGAGTTGTTGAGATATCAGTATTAATAATATAGATAACATTATCGATTCCAGTGCCTCGTTAGGATTCAAACCCAGAACTCCTGGCTTACTAGTCTGACGCTCAATCTATTGAGATAAAGAGCTCTCTCTCCGAGCAATACCTTGGGGCTAATATTTACCAGGCTTACATATAATTCTACTACTGTGTCTAAATCATATTTCAGGTCTTTCAAGGGTATTTCGCTCTCACTGCACCAACTTCATATTTACATTTACCTGTTATCAGTACATCAACGATAGTGGTCACCATATTGTAAGAAAGGGTACAGCTTATATGTGGATGAAACTGCTAAAAAGTAACCCTGCAGCTTATATACCGATTCGGCTTACGATAATTTATGAAACATTTTACAGATGTGGAAGTTTTGCTTCAAAAATCTCTGTTTTTATATATTGTTTTTAATTTTAAGCAATTATTATTGCTGAAATAATGTCGGATTAAAAGTTCATGGTATAAGTGTTTGACATCATTTTCCAATTAACGTTGATAAGATTCTGTTTACATGTTTCCAACTCTTTCAATCTGTTGATAGAATCACTGTTTCTGTATACACACTTCAAATAATGATGGATGGTAGAAATTAATGTAATGCTTTCAAAATTAATTTTTGAAACCATTCACAGCATTTAGAGACTATATATTAACATTTTGTGGTGTCATAAATAGGTTTTTTTTTTTTTCCTACTTTCAACAAAGGGAGATAACTCATACAAGGTATCCCTGTTAAAGGTACAAGAATTCCTTCACCTTTTGATAAGTCATATCCTGATAACATCAAAAGATTTGATTCATATTTCATCAAGTTTTTACAACTATTCCACCCATCGCCCCATGTTACATTTTACAATAGTTAAAGATAACGTGTTATGACAAAATTTTAACATGTACTAAAACTATGGATATAAGAAGCTCATAGATAAACACAATACCTAAAGTTGTACATCTTATTTATATTAAAGTAGTCATTAGTCCAAGGGTCAAAGGTCACATTTAGGGGGGATTTATGTTTTACGGGCATCATTTTTTTTTCATTTAATTTTCTAAGATACATGCAAAGTGATACACATACTAGAACAAACACCATATTTGGGATTTAGACTTAATGTGTACACAGATGTCTATTTTCTGATGCATATGGGATTTCAAAGTCAAACGATTTGTCACATTGAGCTCCGACAGAAAAAAACAGACTTTTATCTATCAAATTTGCATATGTCAGCCATTTTATTCAGCTCATAGATCATGAGAAACAGGTCTCAAATGGACTCTCTTTTGTTTGTTTTCCATTTATATGTATATTTGGTCCATAAAACTCCCCTTCTGTTTTACAACCCAGTGTTTAGTATGTCGTTTAAATCCACATTTTGCTATATATATCGCAAATAAAAAGTGTCTATATGGGAATTTGTATAGCATTGAGCGGTTTGATTTTCGTTTTATGATGCAAGATCTCATCCAAGTTTTTAGCTCACCTGGCCCGAAGGACCAAGTGAGCTATAGGGATACTGTGGCGCCCTATGTCTGTCCATCATCTGTAAACTTTTCATATAAACTGCAACTAGACATTAACAATTAAGCAGTTTTTAATCAAATTTGGTCAGCAGCATCCTTAGGGAAGAAAAAAAACAATTTATGTCAATTGGTGGGTCTGGTCCACCCATAGCCTGAACTCAGGCCCAATAGGAAAAAATCTATTAATATCTTTAAAATCTATCTTTTTCTTTAAGAATATTGTATAAAATTGGTCTGAAGCATGCTTGGGTGAAGGGAAACAAGTTTAGTATGAACCTTGAGTGACGGCCACATGGGGCCAGAGGGGCAGGACCCAATAGGGAAAATAGAGTAAATTCCGTAAGATCCTTCTTTTTCTGGACTTTGTCCCATTTAGGCCAAATGCATGCTTAGGTGAAGAGGTATCAATTATGTAGGAATGATGGATCTCAACCCTGTATAGGGAAGTGATAGGGCCCAATAGGGGAAGTAGGCAAACTCTTCGAGATCATTCTTCTTTTTTAGAAATGTCTTGAATCTGTCCCAATCAGGTGTGAGATGTGCTTGAGAAAAGGGGATTAATCTTGTATGAACAGTGGGTTCTGGTCCATGGGGATGAGAGGGATGGGGCCATATAGTGGACATTAGCAAATTCTTTAAAATCCTTGTTATGTTGAGAACTCGGTTCATTATTTTCAAACAGCTGCCTCTAACAGCCTTTTGAAGGAGGGTTGAGCTTGTTACAGGGAAATAGATACAAGTGTCTTAAATACTTTTCCATTAGTTAAAGTAAATCAATTTCAGCAGACTAAACCAGGTTAGTGATACAGGGCCTGTGGGCCTCTTGTTTGTGTTTTGATTTCAATCTCTAGGGTTAGTTTTTGTTTTTAATCTTTCAGAATCCTTTTGCCATTTGAACTGTTTCAGTAAAATTATTCTAATAATATTTCTACATTTGAAACTCATTGTCTCGAAATCGCTTGAGGCAAAATTCCATTGGAGTTGCATTAATTTTCAAGTCCCAAGTTTTTTCCATCTATGTCTATGTAATTTTAGTTAAGATGATTGAATTTCACTGAGTTCAAATTTCGGTTGAGTCGAAGCGATTTTTCAGTTCCTTTAATCGTAAAGCAAGGGAAAAATCATTTGTTGTCTAGAAATTAATTTTTGTCAAAACATCAGCACGTCTTCTATCGAAATTTGTCAATACACATACAGATTAGAAAGTCATCTGTGCGTAATACATGGCTAATTACAGCGTATCTGTACATCATGTACACAATACTTGGTCTCTGACGATTAATTACCAATTTAATTATCCAATTAAAGGTTGGCTTCCTAATTAGTGTCAACATCCCGTAGCAGTGACTTACCTGTATGTTAAAATAGTAGCACCTTTACACAAGACATGAAAACATTTAGCTTGGTTGCATGCATGTTCCGCAATGATAAAAACGAAACCATCAAACCAGTACAAACTTTTTGACAAAATCTGATCCCCACAATTGAAGAGAAATTAATTAATTTTGAGCTTGTTTACTAAAAGACTGTGATCGTGTCAAATTTAGTGTTTGGACAATGAAGTGCTGAAAGTGTTTTTCATTGATAGAGTCTATATCTTGTGTGTGATTTGTTAGTCTAGTGCTTGTATGATGTATTCTGTAACGGTAAAAACTTTTTAGTGCCACATTTTTCATACATTTATTTATTCATATTAAAGTCATATTGATGCGATCTGTAGCTTCATACATTGTTTCTTGTAGCATATCAAAAGCAAATTATAATTATGTTTTATTGTCATTCCGTAAAATATATGATGTATATGTGCCTGGTCAGTAAGGGTATTGTACACGTGTATGGGAGGGAATGACGCGAGTACAAATGTATTTGATTGGAGTCGTTATTTCATTTCTTGTTGATTAAGAATGAACAAGTAAAAGAGAACGTAGAGATAAATTTATTTGTTTATTTACTGCCATTTTAAATAACAGAACTACACTGCTTGTGTGCTGTTGTTGCTCTTTTTCATTCAACCATAATCAACGTCAAGAAACTGATATCGTCAACCTTATTTATACAGTTTGTCGCAATTCCGATAAGTAGAAATATTTTCCATGGTCCCTTGAATTTGGAGATAACAAGTTTCGACTGTATTTTTAGCCCACCAACATCAGTACTGGATGGATCTTTCTCAAATTTCATATGCAGGTTCCCCTTGGTCCCTAGTTGTGCATTGTACCTTTTTTGGACTGATTCGAATTCAAGATGGCTGACATTCAGCCATCTTGGATTATGAGAGTAAAATCTTGTTACTGCTATATCTGAGGAAGTACTAGATGGATCCTTCTGATATTTCATAGATATTGGTTTCCCTTGGTCCCTAGTTGTGCATTGTACCTTTTTTGGACTGATTTGAAATCAAGGTGGCCCACAGGCAGCCATCTTGGATGTCGACAGTAATACAGTAGAAGCATATTGTCTATTATCCACCTGTAACTGACTGCTATCTAATAATACTTTCGGATCTTTTTCAAATGATATTTGCTAATAGGTGCTTAATAAAAATATCTTGTGCCATCATTGAGTACATTCAATGAAGACCAGTTCATGAACATTTACAACACCTGTAACAAACAAAAAAAAATAAACAAATCTTCAAGAACTGAAAACAGATCCTCAAATGGTGGGTGCCAAGATCCCTCTGGGATCTCTTGTAAATGTATCCTGATTGTTATTTGTCGATGGTCACAGCATTGAAATGTTAATGCTTTGTACCTTATAGAGATTTTATAAGTATCCAAATATTGTTAATGTTGCCATTTCCACAGATTCTAGTTTCAAAAGTTTTTGACCCCAAAATGTCATCCCCACCACCACAAATTCTGGTGTAATAAGTCTACGAACCTGCAATGTCATTTCCACCACTCTGTCCCCAGGATGTCGTCCAATCACCACTGAATCTGGTTGTAAAAGTCTGACCCTGAGGTTTCATCACCACCCTTATAGACTCTTTCCAGATCATTAAATCTACCAGCAGACACTGTTTATTGACTTTTACTTTCTTTAAGAGATTAAATTTTGGTAGAAATAGGTTACATTGGCCTACTGAGCTCAACTGTCCCCACTTTTATGTCTACATAGATTGATGTTCCTGCCAGGTCAAAGTAACAGAAAACATCCTGTCATTGACTTGTGAAAGTACTGGCATGATTTTAATTGGATTTATCATTCTTAAGAGGTTATGCTAATACAGAGGTCACCAGTCTCTAAAGGTCACACCCTTACCCAGGTTACCATTGTTGAAAGGTCAGAATATTACAGAGGTCATCATTGCCAAAACATAATTACATTACAGGTCACATAGTTAGCAGGTCATGATGACCTTACTACTGTCACCACTGTCATAAGGTCATGACCTTACATAGGTCACCTTTATTGCCTGATTGACATGACCTTACAGAGGTAAA